ACATACAATTTACAACTAACTATAGATCGGAGCTTCCCAAACTCTTTTTTCTCATAGACCCCTTTCAAAAATTTACTGGTTTCGGTGGACCCCCTGCTGATACATTTCTAAATATTCCCAAAGCTCGTAAAAAATTAAATGTGAAAATCAGATCTAACAATGTAAATTTGCATCGCCGGTGAATTCAAAAACTAAACTCAGAGTGGCCAAAAGAAAAGTAAAATATTTTCTTGTGTTCTATTTATAAAAATAATGTGACACTTGTCGGTTTTAAAAAATAGAGCTCGTAAATACATCAAAATACTCCCTCGCTCGGAATAGTTATATTTTTTAAGAGCACTGCGAGTGCTATAGGGATGGGTAAATTCGATATTCGAAGCTTCGATATTCGAAATTTAATCGAATTTTAGCTCCAAAATGGCGAATTTTTGAAATCGAACTTTGTGTTGCTAAAATTCGGATAAGATCGAATTTTCCCGAAAAAATCGAATTTCATCTTTATTTCCAAAAAATCAACTCTTCAACTTTCTCCTTTCTGACTAAATTTTCCATATCTGTGTGTGACACTCCACTTGTGTTAGGGATTCAAGTAAAAATATAAATGTTTTTCGCTCTGATGCATCGAAACAAGAAATCTGTGCCTAGAAGGAACTGTTATTCCAAACTCAATTTTAAAAATTGTTTTGTAAAAAACTAGTTTTTTTGATTTTTTATTTTAAATTTTTAGAGGCTTTTACGTTGGTAGCTTTTGCGTGAGAAGACCCCTAATAAAATTTTCCGGAGAATAATTTTTTAGAATATATCAATCCACAAACGATCTGCCAAATTTGCTTTTTGCGCGATTTCTCGAAGTGAGTGTCAAAATTACCCTTTTAGGCGGAAGCTAATGGGTTAAAATGTTCTACGAAAATATTTCTCAAGAAATTTTAATATATATGTCTTAAACTTTAATTTCGCTCGGACATTTATTTTAACTATTTTTTCGACTTTTCTGAGAACTACTGGATGGGTATACATTCAGAAAATGTTAACAAAGTCCAGGCTGGTTTCGGCTGTCGCACAGTGTAATTTGAGTTTAACTTTTTAAACAAGTGGCCACTCTCTTCAAGCACCTCAAAAATATTTTAATTGTTGCATAGTATTTTAAGCACAACACTTTTTTTTTAACTAAAATCGACTTTTCAAACAGGTGGCAACCCCCAAATGTAATTAAAAAATAAAGTTTATTCAAAACCATTTCGATTGATGCCCATATTGGAGTAACTTATTTAACTTATTAAATAATTTGATTTTGATTTTCTTACATATGGCACAAATCTAAAACCATGTTACAGGGCAAGCCCTTTCATTTGACACCTGCCCCTTTTTTGAAAATCGAACGAAAGATACAGATTTTATGACTTGGTGTTAAATATTGAACGCAAACATCTCCGAACGCGATTAGGAAGTTTCGCTTCCAAAAATTTTTGCAAAATTCGCAAAAATTCGAATGAAATCGAATTTGCACCACCAAATTTCGAATCGAATAATCGAATGGTTGGACAATCTTCGAAATTCGAAAAAAATCGAATTTCAACCCCCCACTACCCATCCCTAGAGCGCTAGCGTTATTTACATTATCTTCACCATAAACTCATCAAATGTTGGGCTCACTCATGCCTTTGGACGTGGAGTATATCGTCACCTGAAATGCAAAAAGATGTAACAAACATCATCGTTGAAAGGCAAAAAGTCATAACTAATAAAAAATTCAAAACTCACTTTTTGATTTATATGATGGATTTCATCGAATTACAACTTCCCACATCATTTTATGAAAAAAAAAATAAAATATTAGTCACGACTTTTTCCATTTCATCTACGATGTTGTTACGTGTTTTTGCATTTCAGCTGACGATATGTAAAATAGTTTATTTGTGGTAATGGCATCATTTTTATTTTTATCGCTCCTGAGGCGAAAAATATATGTCACATTTTTAAAACACAAAACTTAAAACATCGACGGCTAAGCTTTTTACGCCAAACTTTTAATTCAGAAACTGGCAATAGAGAAAAGAACGAGTTCAAAAAAATCGATGACAAATAACCAAACAAGCAAGAAGCACAAAAAGTGTTCCACCGTCTCATCTTCTTCAAGGCAAGATGGGCAAATGGACTTGTCATTTACGCCTATCACAGTCAGGTGTTTGTGCCACGTGAAGTGACCAGTCAGCTGTCCAGCAAGTTGTCTGCAATGTCGTCTGCTCAGTGAGAGCAAAATATTAGATAGACCTTGTGAGATTGAAGGCAACATGAGTTTTGCCCACCTGCATCCCCTCGATGCCTCTCTGTCATTGCTGAGCGAAGTATTCACCCAGTTTCTGATGGTGGCTTCGATTGCCGGGGTGGGAGTGCTAAACTGGTTGGGGACCGAGGAATGCCTGGTCTGAGCCAACTCTGGCCAAATGATCAGATGTCTCATAACCAGGTACTCCAGAGTGACCTGGCACCCAGAGTAAAACAACCTCGTTATGTTCACCATCATATTTTAGTCGAGATTTGCATTGACGAACTAGTTTGGAAGTACTTAAATAGAGGGCTGGTCAATGCCTTAAGTGCAGCTTGGTTGTCACTGCAGTCATGTAAACTCCTTCCCCTCCACTTATGTTCAACCACGTAGTCCATGGCTTTGAGTACTGCAATTACCTCAGCCTGGAAGACCGAAGCAGATTCCTTTACAGAAAAGTGAAGCTTATCTCCATTAACCTCGAAAAAGACCCCGGATCATGACCCAGAGTCAGTTTTGGAGCCATAAGTGAAGATTAGACAATGTGTGAGTCAGCGATGGAATCAAACCAGCATTCAGTCTTAGGGAACTCAACATTATAGAATCTCTTCAGCAAAGGTAATGGTGGCGTACTATCCTGTATCATTGAAAAGATATAAATCTCTGCCGCCAGCAATTTTCGCCGCGCCCCAGTCATTGTCTTACCAGCATCCGGTTCTTTTTAGTCTGCAGGTGGCCTTTAAGGCTTCCCAAAGTATGAAAACGCAAAGTGACGGTAAGTGCAGCAGTGCGTCAATAGCACTATACACCACTCAAAAAAATTAAAGTTAAATAAAGAGGCTATCAAGCAACCATTTTGGTTCTTTACATCGAAACCAGATAAATTTTCGTGGACCCCCATTTACAACTCATGGACCCCCATATTCTTTTCAAGTCACCGTGGACCCCCGTCGAGTCTTCCGTGGACCCCTGGGGGTTCAGCTGAACCACTTTGGGAATCACTGCTATAGATCAACAGTTCACACTATGAAGATCCGCCCGTTGGAGCCCTTTTGGTCATATAAGAGTTTAATATATATTTTATAGAGCAAAATGTAAGAGTATTTGCTCTTCAGTTTTGCGCAAGTACACCATTATAAAACTCTTATAAAACTTTTGTGTTATCTGGCTGCACACCGGCTATAAGAAGTCGGCTTTTTATGGACAGGAGAAAGAAGGGAGTAGAATTTTACCTCTGCAATTTCAGCCCGAGAAAATCGCTTGAAGCTAGTTTCTTCGTCTAAAAAGCCTGGTGTATTTTTGCATGTTGCGCTTTTTATACGGCCTGTGTACAGGCTAAATATTTACATGCAGAACGGATAATCTCAAATATTTATAAAAATGTATTTTGTCATAGGTCTGATATAAAAAATGACAAATCAGAAGGATAAAATAGCATTGTTATTAAATCAAAAGTAAACAAAAACGTAGAGGTTTATTGACGAAGGGGGGGATCTATCCCCCAATCCCCGACCTAAGTACCTAAAAAAGCTGAAATTTTTCGTGAGGTACTTAAGCAGGTTTTACTGTAGTTCGTTTAAAGCATTCTTCTTCTAGCTTATTTGACCCAAAATGTTTCAATATTTTCGATCAAATTTCAACAGCTGCCACTGCCTATATACATAGATATATATTTTCCCTTTGTCATGTATTTAAATATCTCTCGAAATAAGCGAAAAAAATAAAGGATATTCCGAAAATGTGCACAAACACTATCACTTTTGAAGTATATGCTGAAAATGGCAACACTGATCATAGGACGTGGTATTTTGTAGACATAAATACACACACACACACACACACAATGTACAGAAGTCTACTGAAGCAGTTGAACCATTCTGCTAACTTCATAGGCAACATTAATTTACTGAGAACTTAATTAATTTATGTGTTGATAAATAAAATAATTCGGATTTCAAATATCTGCTGGCTGATTCACTTCTATGAAAATGGCCCACTATTTTACCATTCTGTAACAATTCTAGAGATGCGAAACAACAACAAAATTTTAACAACTGTCTTGAAATAATGTAACTTCACGACAAATACAACACCTTGTGAATTGCCTAATAGTTCGCCATTTCCGGCCGAAGCCGAAGAAAGCCGAATACTGAAGCCATGCCGAACCTTCGGACGGACACTAATACATACACAACAAACTAACTCTTAGATAAGTAAACGTCGATACTGAATACTATCTATCAGTATCAATTTAAACCACTTACTTTTGGTGTTGGTTGATTTTTCCGAAAGGGTGTAAGATGATTTATTTTGGAACGAATTCCCGTCATCCCTTGTCAGAACGAAAAATGACACTGAAGATGGCACAACGCGGAAACCAGTTTGCCTGCAAACCAAGCTTGACAAGGTATGACGGAAATTCGTTCAAAAATAAATCATTTACTTGAGCTTTCCTTGATAAATAAACGACCCAGAGTGTATAACAAAGGCTTCTACGCCGCAAATGCACTCGACGGTTTCTTATTCCTGACACAAAATCATGTATCCGGAAAATTCCGTTTCCGTAAGCCAGGTTTAAGTTAGAATTTTTTTTCTTTTCTGCAGTGGTTATGCAAATCGTCTATGTCATTTACTTTAAAAACGATTTGAATTTAGAACAGCTTACATCTTTTTTTGTTGAATATTCTTCGAAATGTGCCAGTTTTAATCGAAATTCTTCAATTAATCTTTTCAGGCTACGATAGCGTCGTTACCAGAGACTGAGAGAGCGTATATTTTAAGTGTAATCTAATAATTATCTTTAGTTAAGGTCAAACCGAATTTACATAGTATACGGCAGTCTGAAGTTTTTTACCTGCCCCATATAGAGATCAAAAAAGGATAACTAACGAGAAAAGTAGTGGAACCTCAATTTGCCAAAGCTAAAAATTCCAAACGTTTTATATTCAGTATTGCACACCATTCTCAGAGGCACATGGATTTTAACTAATACTGAATCGTGAAGGTGTTTGTGTTAATTTAATCCCTCAGCATGGGAGTTGCTGAAGAATTCGCTCCCAGCTTCGTTCAGAAGCCACAACTTCGTCAAGAAGATGATGGAAACCGACTAATTTTTGAATGCCAACTACTTTCATCACCTAAGCCTGATATCGAGTGGTTTCGTAGTGATAATTTGCTCACAGAGAATGAGCGAACTAAATTTAAAACTCAACCAATTGGCGACAACAAGTTCACAGTTATATTAGAACTCGACGATGTTATTGAAACAGACGCTGGACTATACAAAGTTAAGGCCAAAAATAAATCAGGCGAAGTTTCAGCATCAATCAACTTAAATTTCAGACGTAAGTATGCGAACCTAGTTTTCTTTAGGGAATTTTATGTAAGGAATTCTCTAGTTTTTTTAATGATTTCTCAAAAAAAAAAGATGCAATGAAGTGCATTAGAATATATTTGAATGGCCTTACTGCAGACTGAAAACTAATAGTTTCTTTCATGGTGATAAAGATCGAATGTTTTTTGTATGAACAGAAAAAGAAGAAGATACATAGACCCATAAAAAGTTATACCAAAATGATTGGGATGCGAGCTAAGTCAGTTTAGCTATGTCCCTATGTATATTTAAACCCTAACTAGTCCCTTTTTTTTTACAAATTTACGATTAAAATTTGGTACGCGTGTTATTGAGTCAATTATTTCAGAAACTCATCAAGCGCCAAAATACACCAAAATGGTTCAGGAACGAAATATTCTTCTTTGGAAGTAAGTGTACCGATTAGTGCAGGAACCATTGTAGTAAGGCTGGAATGAAATGCAAGAGTTTTTATCAGGGACCGAAAATAACAGTTATTTTTTTTTTTAAGTCAACTTGGCCAAGTATTTTTTAAGCTTGAAAAAGTCATTTCCTGATAATAACCAAACCGCTAATCCAAATTAAACAAGTTTCGTACCAAATGAAAGAGGACTAAAATAGCTTTAAAACTGAAATGTCTAAACGAGGAAAGCCATATGTTGAAAAATGCTTCAATAAAAAATTTTATTTAATTACCGTAGAACAAACCTTGGTTCAGGTATATGAATTTTTTATATTAAATTATAAAAGAAAGTTAGAGGTTGTAACCTTCCTCTTTCATTTGATACCAAATTTGTTTAATTTGGATAAGCGGTTTGTTTATTATCAGAGAATGACTTTTATTTTAAACTTAAAAAATATTTGGGCAAGTTGACTTAAAAAAAATAACTGTTATTTTCGCTGCCTGGATTTTGTATGTTTTTATGGTTTTTGTATTTTTTTATCAGGGACGGTTATCATTAGGAGTTAAATAATTGAAACCAGCATTTAATCATTATCTTATGGTTTTTATTTTTTCACTTAAAAGTAATGATTATTTATGAAACTTAAAAGGTCCTACAGACGCAACTAACTTAAACTTTGACCAGAAAGTTTTTGGACTTATTCCTTTTATTGGGGTGCCGCTACCTCTAAAAAGCATACGCCAGAAATCACGCTGGTATAGCTTTTGAGTTTTTTTGAATAATAATTATTCTTAATTGAAAAAATAAAGCTCAATAATAACACTGGTTTACAGCAAAAATGTTCTATTGATGCCACTATCCAGAAACAGAATAAACAGTTATTGATGAAAACTGTAATGGAAAAATTCACTATGAAGGAAATGTTCTACAACTAAGTGATACATACCCATCGATTTCTTTTTTATTTGCAATTTTTATGCAAAATTAAAAAAAAATAACAATTATTTTTGATATTTATATTATAAATCCAAAACACCATTAATTTTTGATTTTTATATTATATGTCTTAGATAACAGTTATTGAAGACTTTTATTTATAAAAGTCATCAATATAAATCAGTCACCGACTTTTACCTTTTAAATCATTCGTATAAAAGTCATTAACATTTTTCGCAGTTAAGAAGGTGTTGGGAAACAAAAGTTTAGTACGACTTATAAAAATGACTTTTATAAGTATGATTTAAAAAATAAAGGTCAGTGACTGATTTTTATTTATGACTTTCGATAACTGTTATGTAGGACATAAAATTTAAAAATCAAAAATAACTGTAATTTGCAGATTATTTAGATAAATATCAAAAATAATTGTAATAATAAAAGTTAAAAACTAATTGTTAAAGAGCGATTTTTTGAATAAAAGTTGTAACTTTTACGGCCCCTGCCACTATTCAATTCGTATGAAGAATTGCTCGGTGATTCCGAAAATCGAGATACTTTCTTTTCTATGGAAAAATTTTCGAGATATCTTACGAACCAATTAAATAATGGTAACACAGATATAGAAAATGAAAGCTAATACAATTCTCCATAAGCTGTATATACATCGCTTTTCGTTAGCCGTGATAGCCGTGATTAATTAATAATTTCTGACACCTCTTGCTTTCAATGCAAACACTCTACCTACTGAGGTGTACGTGGCGTATCAGTAGCACTCTTTTCTGCTCATATTTTATACAAAAAATCCTTGCGCATTTTCATTTGACCAATCATTACTTTCTTATTTATCCATCGATTTTCTTCGTTGGTAGCTTAATTTCTTTCTAAGGCTTTTACACAAGTGCAAAACATTTACACAGAAACTGTTATTGTTAAAGTTTGACTTTTTTCCATTTTTTCATAAAAAAAAAAAATCTGGAATGATTACTTAATTTCTTAGAAACTATCAGGGCTATCGAAAAGTGATGTATATATGGTTTATGGAGAATTTTATTAGCTTTCATTTGCCGTAACTCGTATTACGATTATTCCATTGGTTCATAAGACATACGTGATTAAGTCGAACCACTCTTTTTTATAAGCCGAATAACGGTAAATTTCAAATATCTCGAAACCGTATTCATAAAGAATAAAATTAACTAGATTTTTGGAATCAGCAAACGATTCTACATACAAATTGGATAATGGCGACTAGAGAACAAAAACAAATTAAAAATCATAAAATAAAAAAAATAAAAATCAAGTAATAATAATTTCCTATGAGCTTTATTGGTTTAGCTCGAAAAATAAAAATCGTTGTAAATTACAATAGAACGTACGACAAAAATACGTGAGTATAGTTAAAACTGTTTTACGATGATTAAAACTTTTTGATTTTTTTTGGTTAAAATATAAAAAATAGTGATTATTTTCGGTTCCTTTTTTATAGTTTTTGATGAGTTTATTTTTTGTATGTTCTTCGTTTAAAATTTAAAATAACTTAACATTCCCCTTTAATTCAATGATAATTTCATTTTCTAATAAACCCAAAAACAACGAATAATTATAAAGTTTACCGCGGAAACCCCGTTAAGTGAACGAGTTAAAATTAAATTTAAATTTGCAATTAAAATTATGAAAGCGATTTGTTTTCATTAAAGTACTCGTTGTTCTAATTATTTTCAATAAAAAATGTGTATAATAAACCCAAACGCCTACCTAGTACGAAAGTTTATTTGAGTTTTCTCTAAAAAGCACTTTTGGCACTTGATGGGTTTCTGAAATAATTATTTATATTATAATTATAATTATAATCAATTATATCAATTAGATTATAATCAATTGCAAAATTAGATTAAACTTACGTTTTCTTATATAATGAAAGAAAGATTATTTGCTTTTTTTGATGTTCTTGCTAAAGCAGTTTGTGCATGCATTCAAAGTTTAGTTTGTGTGGTGGTCTAAAAAATGCTTATTTAATGCATTTTTCAAGTTTAAAATGTGTCCATGAGGCCCTTCTGTAAAAATTACAACGATTTACGTTTATGTATATTATATAGAAACATGAAAATATAATAATAAAATTTTTCTTTTATCTTCTTTTTGGATATAAAAAGCTGCTGACGAACCAAAAGAAAAGTAAGAAATATTCACTTTAATTTTGTTTAGATTTCCGTTTTTTTATGGCTGACTCACTTCACCTGCTTTTTAACATTTTCGGCTTTTATCTGCTGTAATTTATGCATAGTCTTTTCTCTTACAGCATTTTCTAGTTTATAAAAATCGCGACGATTTCTTGAATTTTTGTTGTGAACAAAAACAAAAATGTTGCAACCTCAAGTTTAAGAAGACCTAAATGTTCATGAAAATTTGTTGAACTTTTCTAAAGCTTTTATAAGGCTTGAAATTTAAGCTAAATTACTTTAAAAAATTTCTTTTTGATGCAGAGGAGATCCTATAGCATCTAGATCAGTGTCGGTCAGACTCACAGAATAACATATTGCGCGTGTGTTGAAAGCTCAAAAATCTCATCGTTGCAACAAATTTTGCAAACATAACACTGCTTTATTTTTGTTATAAAGACAACACGCATGATATGTATGTATGTACAATGTTATAATACGTATATCAGTAGTAAATTTTATAGTATTATTGTTCCGTAAGTAAGTAAAATAAAACGCACACACATTTATGGGGAAATCTTTTGAGATACGGACATTTTACGTATTGGTATATTGTTGCGGCTGCACTGCCAAGTGCGGTTTCTATACCTTCCTTAATACTACTTATATATCGTCGTCTCAGAAAACGGATGTCGAATGTTACAAAACACGTTTTTGAGAAAATTGACTTTGAAGTTTAAGGTTGAATTAATCCGAAACTGTGAGGTAGATTTTTGTAATTTTTGAAGGAGACGTAGTTGGTGTTATTAGTTTTGATTTTCCATATTTTTACATTTAATATCTCTTAACGTTAATGATAAAATTGACTTTTCATTCCGTATACATTTGTCGTAAGTAGCGTTTATTCACCACTTTGTTTTGTCCCTAGAAAATACGACAATAGCAAAGTATCTATCAACGACGATGGTATAATTTGATGAAAAAAACCAGACATATTTATTAAATAATGATTACTTATTAGAAAAACATAACAAAAACATATTCATGTATTTAATAAAAAAAATCTGTACATCTCTTATGCTGTAAATATGTTACGAACATACGTTTCCCTTATATAAAAACAAAAAACAATACTTAAATTCAGTCTTTTGTACATTTTTATTTCTTTCATTTCATTGGAGACTCAGTGCAAGCTAAAATTTAAAATTTTAAAATTAGTTACTTAGTTTAATTTCCAATTTTAATTGTGTCATTATAGTAGAGGACCATCGAATTGTCGTAAGTTCAAAGTTTTGCGACACATACGACAAATGTTTTATGATTAAAAAAAAGTACGTTTGTATGGGAATTTGAGGTATGTGACGCATTTTCAGCACATACAGCAAAAGGCATACCCAATCATTAATATTATGTAACATACGACAAAATGCATACGAAATATCTCAAAAACTAAGGGAGATATAAAAAAATGGATTGCAGAAATCAAAAGA